CTATATATATATATATATATATATATATATATATATATATATATATACTTTACTGTATTTACATCAATTAAACAATCTTAAATCTCAAGCCAAGTCCTACCTGCTCATCTCCTACCGTGATGTAATTGACTCTACGGCCACACGGGGGCGTCTGGGCTGGGATGGGCCCCGCTCTGTCTTCAGGGATCAATGCGCATCTGTGAGTCGTTCCGCGGGTCCACACTAGGAGGCACCGCCGCCGCCTGCGTCCCCCATTCACTCTCAGCACCGCACAGCAACCGGAAGAAGCTGTTTGAATGTGTCATACCATGTAGCACCAGTCTGAAGTTAAAGTGTCCGACGCCAGGCGTTTGAAAACCCGCTGTCTGCAAACCGAAGAATACTACAGATATGTAGTCTTTAAACCGCCGCTCTCTTCATCAGCAGACCAGAAGCGATAATCGACTCATACTGAAACCATCGTTGATTTCCCTAGAGGTGAGCTAATATTATACCACTGGCTTGAGTGCGAACTGAAATATGGCGTATGTAAAGCTTAAAGGGTGCATTGGTTCTGTGCTGTGTTGTGATATGAGCTGATGCAGAGGCAGAGCTGTCAGATGATGAGCGGCGCACTGACTTTAGCTTTAGCTTCAGCCCGCCGCGTTCACACGCCTTCTGTCCGCTCTTCATTCACAGTAAACCGCGCATTCAGTGACAGTCTGCGGGGATTTGAGCTGTTCTTGTGGTTGTAATGACTGAAAGGTTTATAGCCGCGGGGGAAACCGTGGGGAAGTATGTGCGTGACAGGCTGAAGCTAGTTGCTAAGTAGCCCATGGAAGATTCTGGCTTATGCTGACGCGTTGCTGGAGTGACGTCACGCGCAGCTGTAGAGGCCCAGAGCTGTCGTCTACTGTATGTGACTTCTGTACATTACTGCACAAGAGTGTACTGCACATACGAATAAGAATAGCAACAAACCGCTACAACCACAATAATCATTGTCCAGAATAATTATTACTCACCATCTCGAATTCCCAAACTATTTTAAATACTCTTTTTGCATGATTACGGTTCTCTGATATGGGTTTATGGTCACGTGGCCATGCTGGTAAACACAAAATGTTTCGTATTTCTTGATGAGTGTGTTATTTAGATTTTAAAAAAATATATATTATTAGAATTATCATTGTTATTTAAAAAGAGGGGCTCTGTGGAAATGATTAGAGAAAAAAAGCGCTGATTAATAAATAGAGACTACAAATAAATTATGGTTACATGTAAAAAAAATAAAATAATAATGTGATTAAATAATAATCAAAATTTAGAATAAAGAAATAATAAAAATATAATAATAATAATAATAGTTCATTACATTTATATAGCGCTTTTCTAGGCCCTCAAAGTGCTTTACATTGTCAGGGGGTATCTCCTCCTCATCCACCACCAGTGTGGAGCATCCACCTGGATGATGAGACGGCAGCCATAGTGCGCCAGAACGCCCACCACTCACCAGCTTACTGGTGGAGAGGAGACAGAGTGATGAAGCCAATCAGCAGATATGGGGATTGTTAGGAGGCCATGATGATCAGAGGCCAATGGGCAAATTTGGCCAGGATGCCGAGGTCACACCTCTACTCTTTTCGAAAGACATCCTGGGATTTTTAATGACCACTGAGAGTCAGGACCTCGGTTTAACGTCTCATCCGAAGGACGGTGCTTGTTGACAGTATAGTGTCCCCGTCACTATACTGGGGCGTTAGGACCCACGCAGACCACAGGGTGAGCACCCCCAGCTGGCCTCACTAGCACCTCTTCCAACAGCAACCTAGTTTTCCCAGGAGGTCTCCTATCCAGGTACTGACCAGGCTCAACCCTGCTTAGCTTCAGTGGGCAACCAGTCTTGGGCTACAGGGTGATATGGCTGCCGGGAAAATATATCAAAATAGCTATATTACATTGTTATAGTACGAATGATTACAAATGTAATATGATAATATAACTTAAAATAAATGTTTTTCAGATGTTTATATTGTTAATTTGTTTTAATGGTATAAATTAGGCGTTTATACAAGAAACTATATTGGGGATCATATACACGAGGATAATCATATTTGGGGGTAAACACTAAAAAAACCCTTATTGTTAGCTTTTCATCAGCTTTCATCAAACCCACTGCAGTTCCCTCGCAAACCCTGGTTTGGGAAACCTTGTCATAGACTATGTAGTAACTAAGTCTTGTAAACAGTCTCTGTTGCAAAACTGGTTAGTCTGTAGATTTTTAAAGATAACATTTTATGATGTTATTATTGTTTTCTGTTTATATAAGGTCAAAGTGCTGTGAGATTGTAAAGTATGTGCAGGCCATACAGATTTTGCATGCATATGCTGTCCTGTCACAGATATTCATTAGTCTACAGGTTATCGATTGAGTAGAAAAGTAAATCTGTATTGTAAATCTATGTCAGAAGTTCAAGACATTGGCAGTGTTTTTTGTTGTTTGTCATTTCACAAAACATGTCTTAACCTTCGCCCTGAATTACACTCAGTAACCACAGAGACTTTTGCACACCGTTTAGAAAATTGTAAAAAAAGAAAAAAAATATTTCAGAAAATGAACAAAATAATGCTTTGTCAAAAGTCATTTTTAATTTTCAGTGAACTTTGTGTTGCAAAACATTTGAAAATGTCAGTTTAAAAAGCTGCATTGCTTTTCGTAAGCAATATTAAAGGAATAGTTCAACCAAAAGTGAGCATTTTTGGGGCTTGTCGCATATGATTCATCATTTGCTCATCCTTATTATGTTACAACATAGGAGATGGATGAGAGGACGTGATTATAATTGGTGAAGCATCAGATGATAAAAGTAGTTCATATGACTTGTTCTATATTATATCATACTATATTTATCTCAAATGTGTCTCCATTGGCCACTTGTGTTTGAATTTCAAGGGGATGGCTTATTTCATCTGGACGGCTTAGTGTGTTCTCACTATGAATGATGTGTGTTTTTAATAATCAGATCCCAGATCCTGGATTTTTAAATAGTAGTTTACTAAATGTATCTCTCTCTTTCCAATAGAGTGATGTCTGGAGCGTCAAGCAATGATTGTCCACACTTGGAGTGTGTGGGGGAGATCACCAAGGAAGAACTCATCCAGAAGTCTCATGTGAGTCCCTACCAAGAAGACCCAGTTGCACCTTTATCATATCATTGCTGCCTTCCACCCATTTCTCATATGTCAAATGTAGTGTGCATTATTGACAAAGTATTGTTGACCCCTATTCCAGAGTTTGTCCATAGGCACTAATAATGCATGGCTGCCTCACATATAAGAGCTTAGGCTATAACCGTGCATGCTGTTGAAATCAAAGTGCAATTATGTGGATGCGTTATACATTATTGTAGTTTAAAAGCATTTGAGGTTGCGGTATAATTGCTTGCCAGATTGTACCTTTAATAGAATACATGTTTTCAGAAGAGTTTTGTGTTAGTGGGCTCCATTGCATATATACACAACCATTCAAAAGATTGGGTCGGTACAATTTTTGTATTGTTTTTGAAATAAATCTCTTTATTTATTCTACTAAGGCTGCAATTAGTTGCTCAAAAATACAGCAAAAACAGTAATATTCAATACAATTTCAAATAACTGTTATCTGTTTGAATGTTATTCCTGTGATGGCAAACTGAATTTTCAGCATCATTACTCACTCTAATATACTGATTTGGTGCTTAAGAAACATTTCTTATTATTATCAAGGTTGAAAACTGTTTTGCTGCTTAATATTTTTGTGGGAAGCATAGTAATGTTTTTTTCAAGATTCTTTGATGAATAGAAAGTTATAAGAACAGTTTATTTTAAATCGTTTGTAACTAGGGGTGCTCCAATTGATCGGCTACCAATCACTATCGGCCGATAATCGCTTTGGGATGTTTGATCAGCAGTCTCTATAAAGGCTGATCTCATAAACCGATCTCAAGCTGATGACGCGCCTGCTGTAAGAGGTTTGGCATGACATGCAGTGGCACCGTCTCTGGCTGAAATAATTATAATGCTGAAGTTGAGGTACAATTCATATTTCTTCATTAAACAACTTATAAAGTCATTTGAAAAAGTTTCTTTGAGACATAATTTCACAAAAAGCGTAAGTGAATCACTGCACGCACTCTCTCTTTCTCTCTCAAAATGCGTAAATGGCTTTAAATCAAATCGTGTCTGCACTATAAGCGAGCTGCACAGTTGACACAGGAATTGTCACTTGCACTGTCGAGGCAGTGTCGCATCATCACTAAAGTTTATAAATTGCATTTTTTTCTTTTTAATTCTTGCCAGTGTTTAAACCATTGAAACCACTCTCCTGGCTCTCCTGCACACTCGCAGCGCGCACACATAATGCCAGATTCACACATACTTTTTGCAGTGCATATGCGTTGCATATTTTTTCCGCGCTCATGTTAAAGGGGGTAATATGATGTTGCTAAAAGGAACATTATTTTGTGTATTTGGTGTAATGAAATGTATTTATGCGGTTTAAGGTAAAAAAAACCTCATTATTTTCCTCATACTGTACATTATTGTTTCTCCTCTATGCCCCGCCTTTCTGAAAAGCATTGATTTTTACAAAGCTCATCGGTCTGAAAAGCGAGGTGTGCTCTGATTGGCCAGCTATCCAGTGCATTGTGATTGGCCGAATTCCTGAAGCGTGTGTCGGAAATGTTACGCCCCTCACCATACTGTGATGCTGTGTCCCGGCCGGAGCGACGAGACAAAAACATTAAAAGCCATTATAAATGAGGCATTTGTTGCATCCAGTGGGGACATAATTACTGATTATAATGACTTATACTGTCTTTTTACGCGTTGCGTTGCATCGCGACATGCCTCGTAAACATAAAACCATGTCTGCATTTGTGATTGGAGAAATGAAAAAACAACAAGCGCTACTCTACACTGCTCAAAACTCGCATTTGAACCATCAATGGCAAATCCTTTAAATATGAAAACGTACTTACAGTCTGTGAGTCTTGACGGTTTCCTCCAGGATCAGGAAACAGTTCTCCATAAAATGCGCTGCAAACATCTGAATATTTGGGTTGAACTGTTCTGGAACAGTGTTGTAAATACAACTTAACCACTGATTCTAGTCGTGTCCTCTTTTGGAAGGCCAAACAAAGTATTTTCGCTTTCACAACAAAACACACAGCATTATTGTTTCTCCTCTATGCCCCGCCTTTCTGAAAAGCATTGATTTTTACAAAGCTCATCGGTCTGAAAAGCGAGGTGTGCTCTGATTGGCCAGCTATCCAGTGCATTGTGATTGGCCGAATTCCTGAAGCGTGTGTCGGAAATGTTACGCCCCTCACCATACTGTGATGCTGTGTCCCGGCCGGAGCGACGAGACAAAAACATTAAAAGCCATTATAAATGAGGCATTTGTTGCATCCAGTGGGGACATAATTACTGATTATAATGACTTATACTGTCTTTTTACGCGTTGCGTTGCATCGCGACATGCCTCGTAAACATAAAACCATGTCTGCATTTGTGATTGGAGAAATGAAAAAACAACAAGCGCTACTCTACACTGCTCAAAACTCGCATTTGAACCATCAATGGCAAATCCTTTAAATATGAAAACGTACTTACAGTCTGTGAGTCTTGACGGTTTCCTCCAGGATCAGGAAACAGTTCTCCATAAAATGCGCTGCAAACATCTGAATATTTGGGTTGAACTGTTCTGGAACAGTGTTGTAAATACAACTTAACCACTGATTTCTAGTTGTGTCCTCTTTTGGAAGGCCAAACAAAGTATTTTCGCTTTCACAACAAAACACACAGCGTCTTCACGACATGGCGGCGGTGGTGGCAGCAATGTCTTCTAAAGTTACACCTTCTTTCTTTGCGTGAACAGTTGGGCGGCATTATTCAAATATTCCCACACAGTGACGTAGACATGTGGGGGTGTGTTTAAACTAGGCATTTTAGGAGGGCGTGGACAATCTTAACTTTTATAAAGAATATCTCTTTGGGTTTGAGACTTTAGTCTTTGCAACTTTAGGGATCTTATCTATTCACAAACAGCTTGTAACACTCCAAAGAGAAAGGAAAACTTGAAATCGCATCATATGAACCCTTTAATAGATTAAAGCATTCACACTGCAGACGGTTGCGGTCCGGCGGTGTGTCTGCAGCAGTGCAGAGATCGTTTCCGCACCGAATCTATTTTTGCTGTGCTGCAAGCTCTGAATTAAAGTGACAGCACATTGTTTCAGTAAATATGAACATGCATTGACACACAAATTTAGTAATTACACTATTAATGCATATAATTAAAGTCTACTTTGTTTCACAGTCAGCACATAGGCTATGGCTTTTTGGCTAGGTTTAAAGGGAAAGAGCACTTTTAGATAAACGAGGCAATAATAGATGGCACGCGTGGAGGTTGGAAAACAAAGTTCTTTATGAACCGCAGGATTGCTTGTAATAAAGATTTAAATGCAAAAGAAAAGGCAGTAGAGCTGACTGTTTCTGTCAATGGTAAGTTTTAATTTAGAATGTTTGTGATAACATAAGAAAAGTAGTTTAAATGTTTTGCCACTTGCTTGAGCAACTTAATATGTAAATGTAGAAGTAAATGCAAAAGTAAAAAGCATTGAATGTGTTGCTTATATTTATTGCGTTTAAACACGTCTATGAAAGATTGTATTACTGAACTGTGTAAAAAAAGAATCACAATGCTGAAAAAGCATTTTCAGTAACAATGTTTGGATTTCAAATCAAAATAATGATAAATGTTGTGTTCGTAGTAAAGAGCCAGGGATCAGTTGCTGACACTTGTGTGAAAGCACCGTCACGCTGCTTCTGCACCGATTACGTACTGCACATGGACTTCATACGCACTGCAAATGGAGTATATGTGAACCTCACATACAGCTGACAAAATCAGGCTTGTGCTGTGTGTAAGCTATTGTGCAACAATTGCACGATTGTAAAAACAAAAATGTAGTGCATGATCAAACATTTAGGTGAGATAAATATATATTTTTGAAAAATGTCTAAAAAAATCCCTCTCACAAGAGACACCTAAGAGGGGAATTCATTTTCAAAAATGAAATTCAGGCCCTGAATAAATGTCTAAAAATCTTGATTGGATCATCACTATAAATAATTCTACATGATAAAAAGAAGGCTTTAAAAAGATCGGTATCGGTGATCGTATCGGCAGATACTGCTTTCTGTGATCTGCCTCAAAAATCCTGATCGGAGCACCCATATTTGTAACATTATACATGTTTTGACTATCACTTTTGAACCGTGTAATTATCCTTGCTGAATAAAAGTATTATTTGAAAATAAAATAATTTTTCTGACCCCACACTTTGAAACGGTGGTCTACATGGCACATAGACATAGAATTAAGTAAAAATGTGTTTGTTTTCAGGGTCAGTGTCAAGACTGTAAAGTCGGGGGACCAAACCTTTGGGCTTGTCTCGAGGTAAGTTATCTTTTTATTAAATAATGTTTCTCCACAAGTTTGGTGTGTAATGGGGATGCACCGATATTAAAATCCTGCAGCAATGGCGATTAGCTGCAAATTATTTTAACATTAATACCTGATAACCGATAAATGGCTGATATTAAAATTATATACTATTTTGTGTAAAAAAAGGAAAAAAAATAATAAAAATAATAATAAAAACTCTTAAATTACTTTTTATCTGTCTGGGTGGGAAAAAAACTGATGGACGGTGATGTGAAATTCTTGATTATTGAAAGCTAGTTTATAGTGAAGCCTGTAGAGTAGCTATAATTTCATTTCATGTATATCTTTCATTCAGAATGGCTGTTCATATGTTGGCTGTGGGGAATCACATGCGGACCACAGCACTTTCCACTCTCAGGTTAGTCATCTGTTTCTGTGTAATAATTATTCAAATTAATGCGCTTTATGTTTTAATAACAGTAATTTACTACATTTTATTGTTTAAATTTGTTTTGCGTGAGTGTACTTGCAGCTTAAGATGTTTTCACCCACAGTGAGTATAGTATTACAGCTCTACGATTACTTTTGTAGGTTGATTTAGACAGATGAATCTGATCCCTGATCACATGTGTCACTGTGTTAGTTTCATGTCTCTTATTCTGATTGTGACTGGAGACTTAAATGATGCAATGAATCGCTGAAGTCTGATTTGAATTCCAGGCTGGACTGTGGGTGAACTCATCCATTATTAATCAGCGCTCCAGTGGGGATCTCCCTTCCCACTAAAGCCCATTTTGATTATCCATTACTAAAACCCCATAATGCTCTCAAAACACCCTTGTGCCTGTGTGAGAGCGACTGAGAGAAGACAGAGCCATCAGCCATACTTCCGCCACAATAACCTGCGTTTGCTGCAGTAAACACAATTCAGCCCATGTTTTTTCTTTCACTAAGCTGTTTTCCTCTAGCAGGGTGCTTGTGTGTATAGAGCACTGCAGTGAAGATGTGTTTTTGTAGGTGAACAAGGAAGTTCCCCGGACAAAAACCCAATGAGATTTTTCCATTGGCTTTTGTATTATTGCGGAAAATAAGCTTTGTGACCAATGAAAGCATAAGATTTGGTTCATAATGATAATTTTTCACGAATTAACACAATGGGCCTCCTTCATGAAACTTGCGTAAATATATGAGTAAATTCTGAGTAATTTGCGCGCAAAACAGACCTTCCCGAAAACTCTACTCCGGATTCACAAACTCTTCGTAAACGTCAGATTTGATAGTTAAACGTGTGTATGTTAATGAATTCCAATCATCCGTAATAGGGCGCTCGTGCACGTTCATTCACAATTAGCATAATCCCGCCTATAAATGACAGCTACGCAAATTGCGTGTCCAGGAACGCAGTGGAATATTCTGGTCTACTTTCTCAGGTTTGGCTCCAGTATATTGCATAAATGCAAAAAAGACAAGGTCATATGCCTAACAATAAATATTCAATAATGTGTGTGACCACCAAAGAGTTTTTAGCCAGCTGAAAAAATGTCAGGCACTCTTCTTTTAACGACCAGCTGGTAGCGCTTGAGAACGCACAGCGTTTTCCCAGCTGAGACACTTTAGTTGCTATGGTATGGAATATTAACGGCGGCAAGTCGGCAACGTATTAGCCTACTAGTATCTCATTTTTATGAATTTTACTAAATATAATAAAGCAGTAACCAGTAATATTGACTTCTCCATCGTTGTAGGCAGTTGTTGTCGTTGTTGGCAGTCGTAGGGAGCAGGTGTACATTTCTTTCGTATCAACAAAAATTTTGAAAATTCGAACATTTTCATGAATTCGAAAGTTTACGTCAGAACGGCTTTATGAACGATTTACACAAAAATTCGTTCTGCTCGTGTTTCATAAATGAGGCCCATTGTTTGTGAATTTTGAAGCTTAAATGCAATCGGCAGAAGTAAAAAACGTAGACTATAAGTGAACTATACCACGGTTGCATGACCAAAACACAAGGCTAGTGAGCAGATGATTTGCAAAAAGGCCTAATACCAATTTGATAATGCTCAGTTCAAAAATATCAATAAAAACTTTTAATCACATTTTCTTTTTAAAGATTTTTCAAATAATATATGTTTCCATTTAAATTAACTTAGTCAAAACAACAAAAGCAGTCAAATGTCTTGGTTTTAATGATGACAAAAGAAGTGTTCAATGCGTCTCATTTAACTTAGAAACTGAAAAAAAAAGAAAAATATGTTTATATGTAATTTTCTGTTGCTGTTTTGATGTAGTAATACCCACAGATGTAGCAGAAAACATCTGGGTCATGTTTGCATTTTCTTCTGTTACTGGCCATAATTCTAACCTTGAAATCAGGATTAGGCATAAAATAATTTCTTTAGAATCATTCATACATGTAAAAATCAGCCGAGAATTCAACAAATAGTTTTAACCTGGCTCAGAGGAAGATAGAAATCATGTGTTTGTTTGTCTTTGATTAAGGGATGGTACAAGACTTATTTACAAATAGATGTTGAAAGCAAAAATGCTACAAAATGCACATCATATTTTGTATCTTTGGAATCAGCACCTCAAAATTAGTAAGAAACGAGTATTCAATGTCATTCAGCCAATATTATGTAGGGTGATGTTTTTATAATTTTTTCAATTGTGTAAATTGCCAGGATCATGAGTGCATTGGGCGTACCACAATTTATGATGTAGATGAGTTTTCTATTATGTTACCCTTGCTGTGCTGTGAATTCAAATGCATATGGGCATGTACAACATCCTATCCATCACCGAAATGGTCGAAGTAGCAGATTTTGTCAGGGTTTGTATTTTGGCGCAGCTCTCATAAATGTTTTAACTTCCCCTGTCTGGCTGCAGTTGCACCAGTTCTAGTGCCACAGTGAAAGCCAATCCAGACACATGAATAATGTAGAGACCCCTTTGCCCCCGCTGTGTGCATGCCCAGGCTTCACATCGCCACTTCCCATTTCCCCTGGTACATTTTCGCTCTTGTTGCAACACACTTGTGTTTTGCCCTAAATTTTGAAGAGTCTTTCTGTTGCATTGTAGGCTTCATATATAGAGAAAGAGCACAGGACTCAGACTGCCTTTATTTAGGAAGTAAAAAGGCACCGATATAGAAATTTTGGCTTAATGAATAGCAGCAGATATTTTAAATCTATACTGTAAAAAACGGGTTCACAATAAAGCTTCAGTGTTGAATTTGACATGTTTTAAATCATTCAGAACTATTCAAGCCATTTAAAGATTTAAACAGAACCAATTTTTTTTTTTTCCATACAAAACAACTGTAGGGCGATTACTGGTTGATTTTAGTTGTAATATTCATTGGTTCATTTACAAAATGTATATAGGATTTGAACCCGACCCCCATGCAAGATATAAAATTACACCACTAGACTCATGATTCACAGTCAGAAAAAAGGTAATTGGCATAAAAAAGAGTTTTCTGGATAAATTGGGGATGATTCATTCAGATGAATGCTAATGCTTCTGTTACTACTACTACTACCACTAATTATTATCAAAGAAGCTGATATTGATATGCTCACTGATGTATTGTGCAGCTCTAGTTATTGCTTTTTGAGGGGGTAATATATGGAGAGGGTTGTTTTTTTTTTGTTTTGTTTTTTTGTATTTTGAACATTAAACTTGCAGATAAGCATTTATTTCCATGTAAATGTCCATCAAAGCGCTGTGGCTTTTTCTTCCAGGAGACACGGCACAACCTGACGGTGAATCTGACCACTTTGAGAGTGTGGTGCTACGCCTGTACCAAGGAGGTTTTCCTGGAAAGAAAACTGGGTCCACACGCACAGTTGCCCATCTCCGCCAGGCCCATCTCCCCAGTACAGACTCCCAGCCCGGTCAGAACTCTTACGCAACTTTCTGTGAATGCAAAGTTTAGAAGTTTGGTTGTGCTTAAAATCCTCCTTTATATTTAAAACATTTCCTTTGCTATTTAAAAATGACTATAAATGTTTGCATAGAAGACAAGACCAATCACAGTCATGCAAATATATGTAAGACCAAACACCAATCACAATTCAGTATGTAAATTTTGTCATCATTTTTGTCAGTTATCAGTGGTGATGGAAATTTGTTTTAATTAAATGTAAATAAAATCTCTAATAATTGATTTTGAGATTGCAGGTTTTCTGAACGTTGTTTAGGGGCACACAACTACACTTGCCTTTTTTTTTTTTTTTTTTTGCAAAAGGCGTGCTGTTGCTGATCTTCTTCCATTGTCTTTCTGGTTCTCAGGACCCCAAAGCTCCTGGGAGCCCCACCTCGCTGAGAGTTCCTCCAGCAGGAACCTGTGATGACCTGGATGTAGAGACTGAGGAGGAGGATGAACTGAGGACCAGAGGTCCTTCATCTCTCATGTCTGGTGCTCTGTGCATTTGCTCTGCATTCCACACTGTCAGTCTGAACCTTGTCGTCTGTTCCTCCTCACAGGTCTGACTGGACTGAAGAACATTGGCAATACCTGCTACATGAACGCAGCTCTCCAGGCGCTTTCCAACTGGTAAGAACCCAATAATCAATAGTGTTTTTATCTTAGTGTCCTAATTGATCTCTTTCAGTCTAGTTTGGCTCTGGTTTAATCAATCTCTCTTTCTGGTTTATCTTCTAGTCCTCCACTGACACAGTTTTTCCTGGACTGTGGTGGTCTGGTGAAGACCGACAAGAAGCCAGCGCTATGCAAGAGCTATCAGAAACTCATCACAGACCTTTGGCACAAAAACAGGTACATTCCTCTCTTGTCATTTCCTATTTAAGTGTAATTTTTCAGGTATTTTTTTCCTCTTTGCAATTTTTTAACCTTCTTTGCTCTTGTTTTGTGTGGTTGCAGGAACTCCTATGTTGTTCCTACAAATCTATTCCAGGGCATTAAGGCTGTAAACCCAATGTTTCGTGGTTATTCCCAACAGGTAGGTTTTCTTAAATTAATTTGTGTTAAAGCATTAGGGATGCACAGATATTAAAATTATGGCTTACATTATCGTTTGCTGTCAGTCATATTTATATTTTATAACAGAGAACAAACAAAAAACTTACTGACCACAAACAATTGAACATTAATTTATTTTAAAATATATGTAGCCTAAATTAATCTAAAAAGTAAAACCCTAAAAATGCTTTAAATGCTACAAGTGACTTTAAGCATCACAGCATTATAATGTACAGTATAAAAATACATTCATTTCGAGGTCTGTGGAAGATTACATTTACCAGTGTTATTAAATTAATGAGTTTATTGATTAGATGATGGCAAGGCAATCTAAATGTTTTAATGTTCATGCACTTGTGTCTTGTAATATTGTCTGATAAATATACAGTATTGACTATGATATGATAATATGATTGGCTGTTAAAATTGGCTGTTAATGATATAATACCAACTTATTGTGAAATGTATTTTTTAATGCATGTAGAAATAATTGATAGAGTAAATGTCTTTTGTGTAGAACTTTATTTGACAAATAGGTAGTTTTATTTTAAGGTAATTGTTGTATTTTCATTTGATTGCATTTTAAAAGGTTGATTAAAGGGTTAGTTCACCCAAAAATGACATTTCTGTCATTAATTACTCACCCTCGTGTTGTTCGAAACCCGTAAGACCTTCGTTCATCTTCGGAACACAATTTTCGTCTCTACTGCGTCACTTTGATGACGTCATTACGCCGGATCTGGGTCAGCACCGCCACACACTCGCGTCATGATACTGTCGTGAACGCGCGTCCAAAGTGATGCAGTAGAGACGAAAATGTGAAATAAAGTCGTTATTTTTGTTTTCTTTGCGCAAAAAAGTATTCTCGTAGCTTCGTAACTTTACAGTTGAACCACTGATGTCACATGTGACTACTTTGCCGATCATCTTGCTACGTTTCTGGACCTTGATTGTGTTAATTACATTGCTGTCAATGGGACGGTCAGAGAGCCCTCAGATTTCATCAAAAATATCTTAAATTGTGTTCTAAAGATGAACGAAGGTCTTACGGGTTTGGAACAACACAAGGGTGAGTAATTAATGACAGAATTGTAATTTTTGGGTGAACTAACCCTTTAAATTATTATTTTGTGAGTTCATGTAATTGCCAGAGTTTTTTTTTTTTTTTTAGATATATTTATGGCGTTTTATGCCTTTATTTAGATAGGACAGTATAGGTCGACAGGAAGCGAAGTGGGTGAGAGGTGAGAGAGAGGGGGATGGGATTGGGAAAGGTCTGCAAGCCGGGACTCGAACTCGGGATGGCCGAAGCACAATGGTGCTGTATATCGGCACGCTTCCCACGAGGCCATCGGCACCGATATTACCACAGTTTTTAATGGTGAATTTGTATTGGATCATAAAACACGGAATCCAGAAAAAAAAATCTAAAAAACAATTTCATAGGCCATATTATTGTTAAAAAATATAAATAATTAAATTGTTAAAGTTTTATGAATTTAGTTGATTAAACATGCGTTTTGATGATTCTGATTTAATGAAACTCTTACACTGGAATCCAGAATAAATCAAACATAACACACAAAATTTGGGAAAAATATAACTGATTTCATAGGGCCCTAGAATTCTTATTAAAACATTTTTTTATATAGGCTCATCCTGACCAGCCCAACATAGTTTACCAATGGTGTGAGTTTGAGGCAGGACTGTTCAGTTCACCCAGTGGCAGATGAGGTCGAACTCAAATGATCCCGCTTGCTGTGGGAATTTCGTCTGAGAGAGCCTCATTCTCACTTCGCTATTTCTCCTTTTCACCCTTCCTCTTGTCATACTTTGTCCTCTAGCTGCATTTAAGAAGACCCATTTTTATTCTTGATGATGAGAGATTCTATTCTCTTATATGGGGCACAATCTGATTCAGAGTTTCTCTAGATGTTTGATCACCTCCAACCACTGGAAAACATTCATTGTCATGCCTGGCTGGAGAGGAAGGTCGGTTGTAGAATTAGTGTTGACATGAATGGGCCATCATAGGCTGTTCAGAGACTGTAGGAAACATTAATCTCATTTTCAGGCTCACTTTCATGAAGTCCAGATAGACTGGGGGGGGGGACATTCAGTCAAAGTCAATGAATGCCTTGTTTTAAAGTCATTCCCTCTACAAAGTATAAAGGGAAATGGGCATTAATACCACCAATTTAATACAGCCAGGAAACCTTTTGTCCTTGTACTGCATTGACATAATACAGCGATGGCCTTCTGGTCTCATGCGTCCTGTTGTTGGAAACTTGTTTGCCTACCAGGAATCTTAATACCAGGCTGTTAGAATGCCAGTTGCCATGTGGATGAGCCAGTAATGACTAATGTTCTCATAAGCTTCAGCTGTTCCTATGGCGATGGGGTCCCTGTGGGTCCCTGGCTAATCTGCGGTATACAACGTGAGCCTCCATGCGTGTTGCATTCTTTTGATAATGCCTGGAAACATTTGGTCAAAGAGTGTGTGATTGTCAGTGCACATGCCAGAATCTGACTACCAAGTTTAATGGACAAGTCAACAAGACAAATGTAATTAAAGGGGAAGTTAACCTGAAAAATGAAAATACTGTCATCATTTACTGGCCGATATATCAGTACTTTAATCTTGGAAACCCCCTATTATTGGAAAGCTACATTTACAGAATAATTTATGGTCAACTGTTAATAATCAGTGTTGGGCAGTAACGCTTCACTTAGTAAATTTCAAAATGGTAATTAGAGTATAGTTACAAGTCGAGGTCTCTATACGTTACTGCCGCATTACATTGCTGGCAGAATGCAGTGATTTCTAATCTAGATTGTAAAAAGGATGTAGCACACGCACTGTCGAGTCAAGTGCCAGTGGATTAGAGACCTGCTCCCGCGAGACCCGACGCAACAGAGTGCGGCGCGGGACAAGACTTGATAGGCGAGTGCAGAGACTCGTGTGTGTGTGCGGGATGCGGGAGAATAAAATGATTCACGGGACTCCCGCAAAATAGAAATATCTAAACATAAAATATCTGAAACAAATAATTTGTTATTCATCTATTGCACAAAAGCAACATGAACTAATATAAAATATAAACGATTAACAGGTGCAAGCGTATGCAGAGTTTCTATTTAGGTTATAACACCTGTTTGCAGCGTTGCAGTGCTGAAATTTGCGTGCTCACGAATCCTCTCATTATAACACACGAATATAAAGACGTGGACACGACCAATGTGTCGAGGCCAATAATCAGCAGCCAAGGAGCCATTAAATCCCAGGGCCGAAATTCTGGTAAATGCAAGGCTGTTACTTCTATGCAGTTTTTTACACCAACATGTAAACGAACAGCCTTACAGGCTCCAATAAACTCATGTTGAAGTTTTTTTTTTTCTTTGTAAAAAGTATACCGTGTGGACTGAATATTCTGAAATCATTTGATCTCATGGGTATTAGGGGTGCTCCGATTGATCAGCTACCAAACTATCACTACCACTATCGGCCGATAATCGCTTTGGGATGTTTGCTCAGCGGTCTCTATAAATGCTGATCTCATAAACCGATCTCAAGCTGACGCACCTGCTGTAAGAGGTTTGGCGTGACATGCAGTGGCAGCGTCTCAGTCTATGTGCGGCGCGGCTGAAATAATTATAATGCTGAAGGTGGGGTACAATTCATATTTCTTCATTAAATAACTTCTAAAGTAATTTGAAAACTCTCTGAGACATAAATTCACAAACAGCATGAGTGAATCACCGCACACTCTCTCTTTCTCTCTCAAAATGCACAAATGGCTTCAAATAACATCGCGTCTGCACTATAAGCAAGCTGCACAGTTGACACAGGAATTGTCACTTGCACAATCGAGGCAGTGTTGCATCGTCACTAAAGTACAAATTGCATTTCTTTTTATTTCTTGCCAGTGTTTAACCATTCAGCAATCACGTGCTCTCCTGGAGACTGTGCTCATGCACACTCGAAGTGCACACACATAACGCCAGGTTCACACATACTTCGTTTGCAGCACGTACACGGTGCATATTTTGCTGCGCTCATGTTAACGGATTAAAGCATTCACACTGCACACGGTTGCGGTCCGGCAGCGTGTTCTATGAGTGGTGCGTCTGCAGCAGTGCAGAGATCGTTTCCGCACCGAGTTTCCTGTGGTGCACGTGCTGAAGTAAAGTGACAGCGCATTGTTTACGGTAAATAAGAACATGGATTGACACGAAAATGTAGTAATTACACCATACATGCGTATAATTAAAGTCAGCTGTGTTTCACAGTCGACACATATGGCTTTTTAAAGAGCACTTTTAGATAAACAAGGCAATAATAGATGGCACTCGTGGAGGTTGGAAAACAAAGTTCTGAATGAACCGCAGGATTGCTTGTAATAAAGATTTAAATGCAAAAGAAAAGGCAGTAGAGCTGACTGTTTATGTCAATGGTAAGTTTTAATTTAGAATGTTTGTGATAACGTAAGAAAAGTAGTTTAAATGTTTTGCCACTTGCTTGAGCAACTTAATATGTAAATGTAGAAGTAAATGCAAAAGTAAAAAGCATTGAATGTGTTGCTTATATTTATTGCGTTTAAACACGTCTATGAAAGATTGTATTACTGAACGGAATGACAATGCTGAAAAAGCATTTTCAGTAACAATGTTTGGATTTCAAATCAAAATAATGGATAAATGTTGTGTTTGGTGTAAACAGCCACGGATCAGTTGCAGACTCCTGTGTGAAAGCACAGTGAGCACCTGCTGCTTCTGCACCGCTTACGTACCGTACCACACATGGACTTCATACGCACTGCAAACGGAGTATGTGTGAACCTCACATACAGCTCACGAAATCAGACTTGAGCTGTGTATAAGCTATTGCGCAATAATTGCACGATTGTAAAAAGAAAAATTGCATGATCAAAAATTTAAGTGAGATAAATAAAATCAAATTTAAAGTCTCCCCTCACAAGAGTCGTGTAAGAGGCCAATTCCTCCCATTTTCAAAAATGAAATTCACGCCCTGAATAAATGTCAAAAAATCCCGATTGGAGTATCACTATAAATAATTCTACATGATAAAAAGAAGGCTTAAAAAGATCAGTATCGGTGATCGTATCGGCAGATGCTGTTTTTGGTGATCGGCATCAAAAATCCTGATCGAAGCACCCCTAATGGATATGGTTATGTTTGCACCAGCTCTGTAATTCTGCATTCCAATGTTTTTGTGTTTTTAGTCATTTGCAATTGCAAGCTTTTTCAAACCACTGAAATTAACTACAAAATACCTTCATTTTGGCCAGATTTTTGAAGTAGTTGAAATACATTGTGGCCAGTGGTCATTGCTTTTATTGACTGACTTGCTTGTTTCCACCTTGTTCAGACTCAAACTCTGAAATCCAGGTCAGCAGTAGCATCAGACCGCACAGTCCCAATGGAAATGAGGGTGTCACATCTAGACTGTCCAGCAGTCCCCCGAAATCCTCAATGTGGCCAAACCTGAGCTCTACTCACAAGAAAGGTACCAGAATTTGAGTAGGAAGCACTTCGGGACAGTTTAGGAGTTATGTACTAGTTTAATTAAATGTATTCATTAGTGATGCACTGAAATGAAAATTTTGGACCGAAACCAAAATTTAAGGATGTACTTGCTCAAAACCAAAACCAAAAAATAAATGTTATTTAGTGGTCTTTCAACTCCTGATGTTCATTCAGGTTTATTTCATGGTGTAACTACTAATGACAAAGAGATTCATGTGCTGCTTGAATTGAGGCTACAGTGATCTGTCATGCCACGTTAAAGAGCATCAGAACCACATTTATTGTTTGTGTTTTGTGATTAAATTGAGAGAATGTGAAAGCTGAGACTTTTTCATATTAAAGTTAACAAAACACAAAGCTCATTGTGATTCTTGGATGGCAGCTGTACCTCCAATAATGTTTAGTGAAGTTCGTGCATCAACGGAAAACAGCATAGACTAAAAGATTGATCTTTAGATTTAAGAATCCATAGCAGTATTGATTAAAAGCGAGAAATCTATAGTGTTAATCCAGTTCTAGCATCCACACAGCTGACATGTTTACCTGTTGTAGTTTATCCAATTTGTGTACACAAAATAAACTCTGACAGTCAAAATGTGGCATCCGAGAAACAGTTATTTAAACGTTACTGTTTCGGCCAACTATTTTTGGTTGCCAAACTTTTGCTGCATCACTAGTATTATAGGGGTCATGACACAGATATGTATTTTTTTCATTATTTTAATATGTTCCTTGAGGTTTACTTATAATGTTAATAAAGTTGATATCTATACAAAGACGCGAACGAGCTGTTTAAACCAAACAAAAGCGAATGTTCTTTCACTCCATTTGTCCTGACGACAGAGGACAGACTCAAGTGCGGGGGACTGTGTCAGGAAGTGAACATGCATCTGTATACTGTATCCAGTGTAGACAAGATAGCTGCAGTGATTGTAATTTCTGTATGCTTTTGACGTGACATGTCGCATTCATCATGATCCAAGTGTCAGCCGTTGGCGGCTGAATGCCAGTGGGCAGGGCTTATGTCGCTGTGTTGCTCTGAAGGTGGTGTTTATGCAAACAACTGTGCCTATCTGACGTCACCTTTTGTCCCTATGAATCCAAAATGAGCTGTTTTCTGAAGGTTATTAGGGTTTCTGAGGTTTATGTTTTTTTTTATTAATGATAAGGACATTTTAAGTTATGAAACTTGCAGGATGTATTAAGCACACAAAGACCTCTTCTGTATCAAAAGATCAAGGGAAATTTGGTTTCTCATGTCATGACCCCTTAATGTAATAGTTGTGAGCATCACCTGAACTGGAACAGATTTGACATTGATTCTAAATGGTTGTGATGTGTAATGTTGACAGTACCCTCGTTCATCCCACCAAAGAGCAAGCGGCAGAGGAAATATCGCAGCATCATCTCTGAAGTGTTCGACGGCACAATTGTCAGCTCAGTTCAGTGCCTGACCTGTGACAGGGTGAGTAATCGGTGTGTTTTTCAACCTAAAATGCCCCCAAATAACCTCACTTTAAATAAACAAAGAGAAAACAAGCATTTGATTCTTCAGTTGACAGAGAAAGGTACTTCATTTTAAAGGGGTCATGTGATTCTGCTAAAAAGAACATTATTTTGTGTATTTGGTGTAATGAAATGTGTTTATGCGGTTTAAGGTTAAAAAACACATTATTTTCCACATACTGTACATTATTGTTTCTCCTCTATGCCCCGCCTTTCTGAAACACGTTGATTTTTACAAAGCTCATTGCTCTGAAAAGCGTGGTGTGCTCTGACTGGCCAGCTATCCAGTGCGTTGTGATTGGCCGAATACCTCAAGCGTGTGACGGAAATGTTCCGCCCCTCACATACTGTGATGATGCCCTGTCAGGCCGGAGCGATGATTCAAAAACATTAAAACCCATTATAAACGAGGCATTTGTTGCATTCAGTGGGGACATAATTACTGATTATAATGACTTATACTGTCTTTTTACGCGTTGCATCGCGCCGCGTAAACATAAAACCATGTCTGCATTTGTGATCGCAGAAACGACAAACAACAAGCGCTACTCTACGCTGCTCAAAACTTGCGTTTGAATCATCAGTGGCAAATTCTTTAAATATAAAAAACGTACTTACAGGCTGAGTCAGAAGTGCCAGACTGTCCTTTCAAAGTTGGAACTGCCCCACTTTATAGAAACAGCCTTTGTGTGTAGACGGCATTGTAGTCTACTCTCCCGGGTTCAGGAAACAGTCCTCCATAAAATGCGCTGCACACATCTGAATAATTTGGGTTGAACTGTTCTGGAACAGTGTTGAAAATACAACTTAACCACTGATTTCTAGTTGTGTCCTCTTTTGGAAGACCAAACAAAGTAATTTCGCTTTTCGTCCTGACATTTTATCCTACCCGTCAGATTTTCCTACCAGGGCTTACTGCGCATGCGCACATCAATATTGCGTCCTTTTTTCTCATGCTGAACAACTGAACAACAAGTATCTGCATTACTGTAAGGGTATGTTTAAGGTTGGGGTAGGTGTAGACTTTAATAAAACACAATCTAATAATCTAATAAAATTCTTTATTGTTGGTTTCCCGTAGCTGTATCCCTTCTAACAACAACCGCGAATATAACACATAATTACAGTATTTGCATTACTGTAAGGGTAGGTTTAGGGTTGGGGTAGGTG